CTACAAGGAGGTGTAGAGATGTTTCTTGCACACACCTCCAGGAGGAGTTGATGTAACACCAGGCAGACTGTTTCAGGCTGCCTCTGGCATAATGTACACACTGCTTGTTGTTAGGAAACAGAAGCAGAGGTGAATTTCAACCCAGATAAATACATCTGCAGCCATGAATGCAACCAAGCAACCTTCACAGGTCCTCAGCAACAACCTGGCAACTGAACCGTGCAGATATTAAAGCCAAATGGAGGGATTTGGGCTTCATCTACATGCTGGATGTTGCAAAGGGAAGGCAGAAATCAGCCTTTTGAACCAGCACATGCTGAACCCTCCTAAGTGATGTCTCACTGACATTAGACTCATCACTGACTCAGAGGCCAGTGGTCTTGGGAGACAGCCCTGAGTGAAGGCTCCACAAGGAAGTCCACTATGGCCAGCTCTTACCCATCCACAGGTCAGTCAGCAGACCCACAGGTGGCATTCTGAAGCTCAAGATAGTTCCCATTTCTGGGAGAACACTGAGCAGGCCCATCTTGAGCATGCTAGGGCCAGGACATAGCCTCCACTCGAGGAGGAGGGGAAACCTTGCAGGTACAAACTTTCTCTTCTTTTAAGTTTGATTTTTACTTACGTGTGTGTCCGTCCATGTTTTTGTGAGTGTATGTCACAGGTGTGCTGGTATCTTTGGAGGCCAGCAAAGAGTGGGAAATTCCCTGAAGCTGAATGTGCAGGTAGTTGAGCTTTCTGATGTGGATCCTGAGACCTGAATCCAGGTCCTCTGGAAGAGCAGGATGCACTCAACTGCTGTACCATCTCTTCAGCTCTAGCTACAAGCCTTCTTATGAGTGGACAAGAATCTTTCCCAAGCTACAGTTTTCTGTACACTCTGTTCTCTTCTTTCATGGAGGTGTCTAGAGCAGTGAGCACCACCTAGAATTAGGTGGAGGGCCCCCAATTCTTACTTGCAAGAGGAGAGACACATCCAGGCCTAGCAGTCTGCATGTATCTGGGCAAAGGCATCCTGGAAGTTTAAACTCTGGGATACCTGGTGGTTGATATGTTGGGACTTCATTAGGTTGCAGTGCCTTTACTAGATCTCCCCACAGGTGTATAGGTTACCTCCCAAACAGCTGCACCCTTAAAAACTCCCACCCCAACATGGATGGTAACTTCTCTGAAGCTTCAAAGATAGAGTCTCCTCTTCATTAACCTTCCACCTCTTAATAACATGCTCTAGTACCTCCTGAGACCACATCTGGGAAGGGTGACAAGAGGGAGTGAGTGAGTGGTTGCAGTCTGAGGTGAGGATCAGATGACCCCACCCACCCTCCTGTGAATGAGTGCTGATAATCTGAGCCTTTGGAGAGTGTGGTTCAGGCAAACAAACACAGCTGCAGTGATAAAGGTGCTACTGCTAGCCATGCTATGCCCAGAGGACAGCGTTCCACAACAGCTTCTTCATTCCTGCCCTTCTCTGAGAAGCTTCATGAAGATAGGTCAGTTTGGAAAATCAGAACCCTTCCCGGGTCAGTGTTAGAGAGCAAAGGGAGGTGACCAGAAAACCCCCTTCATTCAGACAAAATAGAGTGCCATGGCGACAGAGCAAGCCTGTTCACTTAGTCACAGTGACATACTTCAAAATATCTGATTGGGCATTTGAGTTTTAAATATTTGGTTTTGAGCTTATGTTTTACAAAGGAAATCTGTTGCCTTCCAGTGTTAGTAGTTGAACATCAGCACGTTGGCGTCCCCTGGTGGATACGTTTAGAATCCCTGCTTTAGTGCATTGCTAGCAGCAGCCCTGGGTTTGCCTGCTCCAAACAGCTACCTTCTGCTCACCAGGAGCTGAGCTGGCTGAACCAATGAATGGTGTGAGGGAAAAGTCCAGGCTCAGAAAGGAGGAGAGAGGAAAGTGGGGAGATCTGTACAGAATGTGAGGGGAGTGAGAAGAAGGACAACTGAGAAGTTGATGTGGAACACCAGAAGCAAGCAAAGATGTGTGTGGCCTTTTGCATGGGCTGTTCATCTCACAAACTACTTGACACCGCATGTGAACCAGCTTGGTAGTGTAGCATGAATCTTAGAGGTCTTATTAATAAAATCAAGCCAGAGGCCAGCTATTGGGGTGAATGCTGGAAGATCAGAGAGACAGAACAGGCCACAGCTTCCTCACCTTGCCAGTTCCTCAGCTGATCCTGTTTCCTCAGACTGGAAGCCTCTGAGTCCTCATATCCGAATGGGTCTCAGCTGAACTGCTGCTAGAAGCCTAAAAGTTTAACCAGCCAAATGCTTCTAGTTTCTGGTCCTCACGCCTTATATACCTTTCTGCTATCTGCCACCACTCCCTGGGATTAAAGGCTCACTTCTTGGGATTAAAGGCGGGTGTCACCATGCATGGCTATTTCCAATGTGGCCTTGAACTCACAGAGATCCAGAGGGATTTCTGCCTCTGGAATGCTAGGATTAAAGGCATGTGCTACCATTGCCTATCCTCTATGTTGTTCTCTCTCTGACCCCAGATAAGTTTATTAGGGTGCACAATATTTCGGGGAACACAATACCACCACATGGGAGCTCTGTAACAGTCAGGACTGCTGAGCAGCACAAGCCCCCAGTCTGTCTCCTTGTGTTCCATGGGGCTCCACATGCACCTTTAGGGAACGAAGACAGAGTCAAAGTCTGGTTGTGATGCAATTCACTTTCACTATCCTCTGAAGCCAAGGGCAGCCTGAGCTGCTACAAACCATGGTGATCCAGGCCTGGCTATGTTCATCTACAGTTTCCAGACAGCAGGAGAGCAGAGTCCCATGGCTGCCTTGTACATCTGGACACAGCCACTCCCGAGAATATTCAGCTGCATGCTTGGCACTCTTGGCAGGTACGTTGAATGTTATATTCCATTTGGAGACACAATTTCATGTGTTCACAGAGTTTAACCCTGCCCTTCTTAATACAGAGTGAGTGTCCTCACAGGCATCATGCTGAATATACTGTGGGTTATTCACTCTCATGCATGTTATTAGCATCATACTTCTTATTCCAGCGAGTCCTTGAAGCCTACCAAAGAATGCTTACAGGGATACAGCAGTGAGTCGAAGGAATAGAACCTACCACAAAGCATATTCAAGGAACCATGTCACACAAAGAAATAAAATATTTGAATTATCTTCAAGGAATTCATCTTATGAGGGGACATGAATGTTTCCCAAGCTACAGTTTTCTGAACACTTTGCCTCTTTCTTTCATGGAGGTGTCTAGAACAGTGAGCACCACCTAGAATTAGGTGGAGGGCCCCCGATTCTTACTTGCAAGAGAAGATACATATTCAGGCCTAGAAATATGCATGTACCTGGCCAAAGGCATTCTGGAAGATTAGAATGATTATAAAGATAAAAAAAATAAGCTTGAGAATATTCAAATAAGATACAACGTGTCAAACCCTGGGCTCCATATGCACACATGCAGTCCCATCCACACAAAAAACATACAATGCACTCAGTGCAAACATCCTGCCACAGTGGCAGGGTAGCTGAGTGTTAATTTTCTCTTGTGTTCTGTTTCTTGTTTCCCTGGAGACAGAACCACAGGTGGGGAGACAGTAGTAGTACAAAGGCAAGAGAACTTGTGACCTCTATCTGCATAGCATCTCAGAAGTTTCCTAGAGTTGCAGAACCGGCTTTTGTGATAGGTGAGAATAGCTCTGATGCATAAGTGTCTTGGATAGGCCCTGGAGTATCCTTGATAATATAGAAACATGTGAACGCTGATTAATTGTCCTATGCCTCCAAGAAGTATGTGTGGGTGTCATTAGAAGACAATGCAGCACTGGGCAGTGGTGGCTCACGCCTTTAATCCCAGTACTCAGGAGGCAGAGCCAGCCGGATCTCTGTGAGTTCAAGGCCAGACTGGTCTACAGAGTGAGATCCAGGGACAGGCAGCAAAACTACACAGAGAAACCCTGTCTGGAAAAAACAACAACAACAACAACAACAACAACAACAACAACAACAAAAAGACTGCAGCATGGGCCCTGCAGCTTGGACCCAGCTTAGGGTGAGGTAATTTATTTAGAAGGCAGCATAAATGCTTACTGTGTCTAAGGGCTGGCTAAGACTGTCCTGTGTGGGTTTTATTTTTTTATTTTGAAGTACTATGGATTGAATCCTGGGCCTTATACATGCTAGGCCAGTTCTCTACCACTGGGCTGCATTCCCTTCTCTTTAAAATTTTTACTTGTTTTTTGAGATAGGTTCTTGGTAAGTTTGTCAAGCTGCCTTGCATTTGCACTCCTGCTTCAGCCATCTGAGTAACTCCGATCACAGGCCCAGTTACCATCAATTGTTTTAACCTCAAATTGTATTTAAAGTGTTAATGTACTCGTACCACAAATTGTGTGGCTTAGAAAAATTGTGCCTTACAGTTCTGGAGGGGAGAACTCTGAAATCAAAATGTCAGCCGACTATGCACTCTCTGAAGCCTATGGGGGAAGGTCCATTCCTTGCATGCTCCTAGCTAATCTTGTGTTCTCCAATGTCTCTGATATTCCTTAGGTGCACCGATTCACTTTTCTCTCTTCCCATGTACCCCCACTCTCTCTTTTGTTTTTTTTTCAAGACAGGGTTCCTCTGTGTAGCCTTGGCTGTCCTGGAACTCACTCTGTAGACCAGACTGGCCTCAAACTCTGAGATTCGACTGTCTCTGCCTCCCGAGTGCTGGGATTAAAGGTGTGCACCACCATTGCCCAGCACATGTACATCTCTTTATGTGTATCTGTGTTCAATCTCCATCCCATATTTCTGTGTGTATGCATATATGTTTATGTGTACTGTATGGTTTTTTGTGTGTCTGTACATGCATGTATGCATGTGGAACCCAGGAGTTGACATGCTGTATCTTATATGATTGTTCCCCACCTTATTTTTGAGACAGGGTCTCCATGAACCTAAGCTCACCAACCGGCCAAGAGCAACAGGCCAGTGAATCTTGGGAATCTTCCTGTATCTACCTCCCCAGCACTGGGACTATGGGTGTGCTCTGCTGTGCCTGGCCTTTTTGCATGGGTGCTGGGGGCTGAATTTATGTCCACTTATTCAGCAAGCACTTTACTGACAAAGCCATCTCTTTAACTTCCTAATCTTGCCTATTTTTATAAGGACACTAATCATACTTGATCTGGAGTCACTGCACCTTTAACTTGGTTACCACTGTAAAGACCCTGTTCTCCAAAATAATGATATATTTTGAAGTGTTGAGTGTTAGAACTTCAATGCACCTTTTTGGGGCTGGATCTTCTTGGCTTTAACATTAAGCATTGCATATAGGCTTCCTGAGAACAGATATCTTAGTCACTGTTCCATTGCTGTGAAGAGACACTATGAGTATAGCAACTTTTATAAAGGAAAACATTTTAATGGGCTGGCTTACTGTTTCAGAAGTTTAACCCATTATCATCATGGCAAGACATGGCATCATGCAGGCTAACATGGTGCTAGAGAAGGAGTTGAGAGTTCTACATCTTGATCCACAGGCAACAGGAAGTGAACTGTGTCATTGGGCGTAGCTTGAGCATAGGAGACCTCAAAGCACACTCCCACAGTGACATACTTCCTCCAACAAGGCCACAACTACTCCAACAATGCCACACCTCATCTGCTGCTTGAGCTCCTCCCTAAGAATCTGGTTGAGACTGCCAACCTCCTAAATATCTCCCCTCGAGCCATCTGCTCTCTACAGGTTCACTTTGTACATTGCAGATCTTCCCCTGTCAATCCCCTATGGAAGTTGTTTCCCCTACCAAACCTTCTTGTGTTTAGGTTTCAAGACCATACTTCAAAACTAATTCTCTCTATCTTTAGGTTGTAACACAGCTCAGCATTCTGATGTACTTATGTACTGTTTTGTCTCTGACCCAGCAAGTTACACTGGGAGAACCTCCCTTTGACTTTATAGCAGCTATACTCCATCATGTCTGCTCCACTCACACCTGAGCTTCCCTTGTCCTTAAAGGAACACTGCATGTTACCTTCACTGTCTTAACCCTGATATTTAGGCACTTTTGTCTCTCAACTTTGGTAGCATTTGGTCTTCTACCCCTATGTTACTTGTAATATGTACTCGGAACCCACCTGAAACTGTAACTGCTTTCTCAGAATCTGTGCATTTTCACTCATTTCTATAAGCAAGTTCCTAGAACACAGTAGCTCCTTCATAAATATTGGTTCCACAAGGGACTGCCATTTCCTTTTTAGTGAGATGCACCTATTGTTTAAAAACTCCAAGAAATAGGACATATGGAAGGAGGGGAGGGGAGTCTGTGAAAATCACCAAGACTTTAGAGGTCACTGGGCCTGTTCTTTATTTATGCCACTGTCTATGCCTTGGCTCCTTCTTCTTTGGATGGCTGCTGTCTTCTGCCAAACACTTCAATACCTTCCACAGAGCAATTTCAACCCATGAATGGGAGGGAGGGTTCCCTGAATGTGGACTAATCCTCTTCCTGTGTTCTGCTATGATGAAGAATTTTGACTTACTCAAGCAGCCAGAAACTTATAGTATGGGGTCATGAGTGAGGTATGGCAGGATGGCATGGCACAAGGGTTCCTGTTTCTCACTTACCAAACTGCCCCTGATCTCTCTGAGTATCCTTAAGAACATGGCGCAAAATGTAATACAAACTCTGTGTTGTGTTGCTGGAGAGCTTCTCTCCAGGTTCCACCAAGCCCCGCAGTCCCACAATCCACGTATAAAATAATCACTCAGATGTTTATATTACTTATAAACTGTATGGCTGTGGCACGCTTCTTGCTAACTGTTCTTTTATCTTAAACTAACTCATTTTTTTTTTATAAATCTATACCTTGCCACGTGGCTGGTGACTTACCAGTGTCTTTACATGCTGCTTGTCCTGGCGGTGGCTGCAGTGTCTCTCCCCCCTTCTTCCTGTTTCCCCAATTCTCCTCTCTCCTTGTCCCGCCTATACTTCCTGTCTGGTCACTGGCCATCAGTGTTTATTTATATAGAGTGATATCCACAGCAGTGTTGGCTTTGAGAGCAGCAGAAGACTTCTCTGTCATCTAATAAGGCAAAGCCAACTCTGCTGCATTGGTGCTCAGGATTTGGAAACCTTACCAAGTTCTATCTGGGGTGTAGTGACATTGGGTACCATTGAGAAAACACTAGAATTCCTCCTCCATCTTTATTTTCATTTGGAATAGCAAGATGATAATCCTGGAAATGATCTGCTTTCTAACCCTCTGACCACATTCTTTTTACCAGCTTCTTCCATAGCTGCTCTCACTGACAGAGTCTTGGAAGGATGCACATCTTTTGGGGTCATCTCTCAAAAGGTCAGCTTTCACCTCTGCAATTACTCCTTCTCTCACTTAACACTTCACTGTCTGTGCATGGTGCTTTGGAGATCTCAGGCTCTGGGTATTGTGATTTCTATTATTCCTCCTTTCTCTGTGCTGTTTACCAACTGCTTTTCTTGTCTCCTTATGCAATTTGGAGAATGCCACCTCCTCCTCATTGCAGAGGTTTCACATTTGATACTGCTTTGTGATCTAGCTCCAATACTTTGTAGTGCCTTGACCTAGATTTATAGCTTCTCTTACATACTTCTTGCTCAGCCCACTCTCCTCTTTTGAGAAATGGCTTTTGCCCAGTGTGTGTGTGTGTGTGTGTGTGTGTGTGTGTGTGTGTGTGTGTGTGTGAAGTTCCTTGTCTTGTTGGGTGGAATGGGTGCTGTTTCAATTCTGTGTAACAAATTGTCATAGTTAGGGTTTCTATGGCTGTGATGAAACACCATGACCAAAAAGCAAGTTGAGGAGGAAAAAGGGTTTCTTCAGCTTATACTTCCACAGCATTGTTCATCATTGAAGGAACTCAAACAGGGCAGGATCCTGGAGGCAGATGCTGATGAAGAGGCTATGGAGGGGTGCTGCTTACTAGCTTGCTTCCCCTGGCTTGCTCAGCCTGCTTTCTTATAGAATGCAGGACCACCAGTCCAGGGATGACAGCACTCACAATGGGGTGGGCCCTGCTCTATCAATCACTAATTGAGAAAATGCTTTACAGCTAGGTCTCATGGAGTCATTTTCTCAACTGAGGCTCCTTCTCTGGACTCAGTATTCACATAGGTAGGTGCTGGGAATTTTAAGTAGCTTCAATTGCCCTGGAGTTCCTTACCATCCATCCTTCTTGAGCCTATTGTAGACGAATTTCTAAACAGTCTTATTAAATAAGAAACACAGAGCCAAATACAGAGGTGTAAGCCATAGCGATCAGAGCAATAGCCGCCAACTATCCTTAGCTTACCATCCTCACTGTAGCTTCCCAAGAAAGCCTCTTCCTGCCTAACCTGTGCCTTTATTGCCTTCTTGTTCTGCCTTCTCATTGGCTCTAAGCCCAACCACATGACCTCCTCATCACTGCCCATCTATACAGACCTCCAGGCCTCTATGGTTGGTACTGGGATTAAAGGCATGTGTCACCATGCTTGGATATGTCCTTAAACACACAGAGACTCTGCCTGCCATGTGACCAGATTAAGGGTGTGTGCTACCAACGCCTGACTTCTGTTTATGGCTATGAACTCTGATCTCCAGGCAAACTTTATTTAGTAACATACAAATAAAATATCACATTTCAGCACAAATAAAATATCACCACAGTCTATGACCCCTATTTCTGATGTGTGTTCTCCCAGAGGGAGGCACTCAGGCATCTAACATTCTTCCTATTGAGGAGTGATCCTTCTGTACACTGTTAAATCATTCCCTTACCACCCACTCTCATCTTTGGTTTTGTGCCCAGATTCATTCAGGGCCATGTGAACTCACAGCCCACACAATCTGAAGAAACTCTAGGCCACTGTTCACCTGTGGAGTACACTGAACCTTGTTTTATCTTTCCCAGATGCTCCCTGTTTTCACTCTCTCCTTCAATGTTGAGCTGACCTGTTTCCCAGATTCCCCACCCTTTTCTCTTTTTCCTTGATGTGCCTGGAATATAGGTCCATGTTTATTGCTAGCTTTATCTTCATAGCTAGGAAGAAGATACACCCCAGTGACCATGACTGAGTTTGGACTTCAGCTACTTTAGCTAAGCTGAGTTTGCTCTTCAGCTTCTCTTCCTCCCCTGTTTCTGAGATGAGGGATACTCTATTAGCCATAAATCGAAGCTGGTAATTTCACTTCATTTTCAGTCATTTATTAATCACCCAGAGCCTCTCAGCCTTGTAGGTCACCATAGTAAAGCAGATACTGCCATTCTTCCCTGTTTTTGGGGTTATCAATCCCATTCATTTCACAGGCTGACCATTTCAGTAAAAGGTATAGTAGCAAAGTTGTAGAACCTGGGAAGCTTGGAGGAAGTATGGATAGATGACATGAAGTTCTGAGCAGTACTACTCAGAGAGCTGTACTAGCACTTTTTCATCTGGACCACCAGCCCACAAATAATGACACAGAGACTTACTATTAATTATAAAAGCTTGGCCTTAGCTTAGGCTTTTCCACAACTAGCTCTTATAACTTAATTAACCTTTTTTTTTTTTCCGAGACAGGGTTTCTTTGTGTAGCTTTGCACCTTTCCTGGAACTCACTCTGTAGACCAGGCTGGCCTCGAACTCACAGAGATCCGCCTGCCTCTGCCTCCCAAGTGCTGGGGTTAAAGGCGTGCGCCACCACCGCCTGGCTAACCCGTGTTTTTTTAAATCTGTGTTCTGCCATGTGGCTCAGTTACCTCTTCTTAGTACAGCACATCCAACTTTCTCCAAAATCACAAACTTAGATTCTTCCTCCCAGTTTCTCTTTCTCTGCCCAGACCTATTCTCTCCTCCCTAGCTATTTATTAAACCAATCACAGTGATATATCTTCACACAGTGTAAACAAATATTCTATAACATTCCCCTCTTTTTTTCATCTAAATAAAAAGGAAAGGGTTTAACTCTAACACAGTGAAACTAAATATTATAAGAACAATTATCAGGTAAGAATTATAATCACAATGCCTAGTCCATTTGTACTTGACAGTCGCTACTGTCCTTCCCTTGAGAGAGAAACCTTGTCCTGTGGGACCTGTCTTTTTATTGCCTTTCTGTTCTGCCTTCTCATTGGCTCTAAACCCAACCACATGATTTCCTCATCACTGCCTGTCTATACAGACCTCCA